ACGCTACCATAAGCTTTTTCCGTTGATCTGACAAAGTTAAAAGCACTCATTGACACTGCTGTTTCGTGTGTGCTGTTGCGTGTATTCTTTCACATTTTTTCACCCACTGTATGATCTATACCGTTCTGTCGTGCGTGCGGAACCACTCCCTTCTTCACAGCACCAAACCAGACCATACTGTGCCACATCACCCATTGGCTTCCCGCTGCAAAGTTACATCGGAACGAGCGCGCACAGTTGAGACAGTGTGACACTTCGTCCTTATGTTCATCACAACACACGAGACTGACCCTATAGGAAGCGTTCCTTTCTACATTCATTTTCCTCGCTTGACATTTGTAATTACCAAAAGGCCTAGTACTAGTACGCTTGTGCGCGCAAATAGTTAGTGGGCGAACAAACCGCCTACTCGTATGTGTGCTGTTTATCCAGCTCCGTTTGTCTACATGGTATTCCTGTTTACCCGTTTGTGCAAGACGATGTGTATACCCTCGCGTGGGTGCTACGCATGTGTGACTGTGCACAAAACCCTACAACACTATGCTTTGTTGGTTGTCTCACGACGTGTGATGTGAATTGCACACTACACGCTCAGCATTACGGACGAGGTTCACCGATCTAACAGTTGGCGACAAAAAGTGCATATACAAAATTGCTAAGAAATAGTATATCACAGCAACTTATAGTCACCTCTTACGCGTGCAAAAAGTGCGCATGAAAACAGTAGTCAGTCTTGTAATAGAAAATACTTAGAGGCCAGTGACTTGTCCCCTGGAGTATTTGCACAGACGACGGGGCGATTCGTCAAAGGATGTCGAAGATATCCTTGTCTATGGAAAATATCGCACAGTGTAACTTACTCCCACTGTTCTATGTGATTTCTTTGGTGTTGGAATATGCCAATGTTTAGTCAAGTCTCAGCTCAAAACAATCAACTGTTCCTTCGCATGCCATGTGGGAAGGCACAGAATTTCAAACAATGCGCACGGCCATAGACTAGTACCGGTCTCTACTTGATATTTCTAGAGCATTGGCTTAGGTGCCCCGGTGGTGGATGCGAACAACTGCGAGCGTCGGACAACATGGGTGGTCAGGGTTCTGCAATATTTGATTCGCCAAGATGTATCGTGAATTCGGTGGTACTGAGCAAAATAGAATCCCAATAATTGTAGTATAGTACGTATTGAGATACATCAGCCGACCATCTTGGCCAGTATCCGTTGTAGGCGTTCCCAAACCTTGCGGTTTCAGGAGCAAATTGCGTACTCAGTATGCGATGAAATCAAGACTGTTAATATATGTTAGGGCTGCATTAGCTCAAATTCACAGAAGACGCCTTATTTTCTGAGTTCATTTGTTCAATGTCACAATTATTTATTCCGTTACTATAAGTCCGTTTAAATAGTCCTTATTTGTTTTGATCAAAACAAGTTATTGCACATTGTTTCTTGAAACTAATCAAATTCATCTAGCGAAATTTCTGCATTTTCTTCCAGCCTCACTCTTCACCCTCCACAACACCGGTACCGGATTCTAAACCTCAGAATGCACTTGGTTCACCGCGACCTGGTCGTAATTCCAGGGGTTTGTCCTCAGTTGCAGATTCCGCTGTTCCCCTTTCAATGCCACCTCCTAGACAAACCAAAACACTTGCTGCCATGCGAGAGAAAATGCGCGCAAAACGTATGCTGAAAGAGGCGGAGCGAAATCCCTCTGGATCGGGGTTTTATTCACTCCCTGGAAGCATGACACCTCACCCAGCAAGTGGGGCCTGCGGCTACTTTCATCAGCCTACTGGATACCCATCTTCAAGCAATGGTTTTGGTAGTCCGTTACTTCCATCTGTCGGCTGTAAGCGATCCTCGAGTGCATTATCTTCACCACAAAATCCCAACTCGGCTTCGCCTACAAACTGTGATAAACAGCCGTACACTAACCCGACATCAGTCTCCCTGTGTAACCTACTCAATGGTAATGGCG